AGGTGGCCGGGCAGGCGTTGCCACAGGCTTCGTAGTGGCTGTTCGCGGGACAGGGTAAGGCTGTGGGGTGGGAGAGGAGGGGGGAAATTAGAGGGGGAGGACGCGGCGGCGAAGCGGTCATGCGACGAGCGCTTTGCGTGCAACGTCCCCGGGATGGATAGCGCGGCGTGCGAAGGCACCGAGCCCTTTGCATGCAACGTGCCGGGCGTGGATCTTGCACCACGCGAAATGTGTTGAGCACGTTGCGTGCAAGGTCCCGGGGGTGGGATATTGCACGCTGTGAATGCGCCGAGCGCTCTGCATGCAACGTCCCAGGGATGGATCTTGCACCATGCGAATGCACTGAGCGCTCTGCATGGAATGTCCCAGGAATGGATGTCGCACCACGCGAAATGCGTTGAGCACGTTGCGTGCAAGGTCCTGGGAGGGGGATATTGCACCCTGTGAATGCACCGAGCGCTCTGCATGCAACATCCCGGGGATGGATCTTGCACTGCCTTCATGAACCAAGAGCTTTACATGCAACGTCCCGGGGATGGATATCGCACCGTGCCAATGCATTGAGCGCTCTGCATGGAATGTCCCAGGAATGGATGTCGCACCACGCGAAATGCGTTGAGCACGTTGCGTGCAAGGTCCTGGGGGTGGGATATTGCACGCTGTGAATGCACCGAGCGCTCTGCATGCAACATCCCGGGGATGGATCTTGCACTGCCTTCATGAACCAAGAGCTTTACATGCAACGTCCCGGGGATGGATATCGCACCGTGTGAATGCACTGAGCGCTCTGCGTGGAATGTCCCAGGAATGGATGTCGCACCACGCGAAATGCGTTGAGCACGCTGCATGCAGCATCCTGGGGATGGATCTTGCACCGTGCAAATACACTGAGCGCTCTGCATGGAATGTCCCAGGAATGGATGTCGCACCACGCGAAATGCGTTGAGCACGCTGCATGCAGCATCCTGGGGATGGATCTTGCACCGTGCAAATACACTGAGCGCTCTGCATGGAATGTCCCAGGAATGGATGTCGCACCACGCGAAATGCGTTGAGCACGCTGCATGCAGCATCCTGGGGATGGATCTTGCACCGTGCAAATACACTGAGCGCTCTGCCTGGAATGTCCCAGGAATGGATGTTGCACCATGAGAAATGCGTTGAGCACGTTGCGTGCAAGGTCCCGGGGGTGGGATATTGCACCCATGAATGCGTTGAGCACGTTGCATGCAACACCCCAAGGATGGGATATTGTACTCTGTGAATGCACCGAGCGCGCTGCATGCAGTGTGCCGGGGATGGACACTACTCCCTGCAAACGCGACGTCCCGGAGCTGCTTATTCCCCTGCGCCAATACCGCCGAGCGCTCCGCACGCATCGCCCCACGCTAGACTTTCCCCTTTCTTTGCAAAAACCGCCCCGGCGCCACGTCCCACCGCGGGGGAAAACCCGTGGCTTACGGCAACCCGACGGCGTCCTCCAGTCGTGCACCACGGCCCCGTGCTTCTTGCAGGTGGACGCGTACGACTCCAGCACCTGGCAGAGGATCTTCTTCGCCCCGTCGCTCATGCAGACGTCGTAGAGGCAGTTGCGGTAGAAATCCTGTGGCTTGACCACCTCGTGGCAAGCCTTGAAGGGTCCCTGGAAGGTTTTTTTGATGAGCCCGCAGTACTGGTTGCCCCCGTAGAGCTCTTTTTTCTCCTCCTCGCACACAGGGCAGTTGCCTTCGCAATAATCCCAACAAAACGGATCGTCGTCTTCGGGGACTTTCCAACCTTCCGCCCAGGCCACCACGGCGGCCACGGTATCGCCGTCGTCGCCGCTCTGGGGGACATCATCTTCGGGCTTGAGGTGTGGTGGTGGAAGCCCCGGCAGAGGCCGCAGGTGTGTTTGTAGTAGCTGCTGGGGAGGTCGATGAGCAGATGCCACGTCCAATCGTACGTCACCCGCAGCCCAAAATCCGTCTCCAGCACGGCGCTGAGCCCGCTCTGGAAGACCCGCACCTTGCCGTCCTCCAGGCTCACCGGGAGCAGCGTCAGCACGCCGTTCACCTGCGGGTGGGTAACACACCACACGTGGGCTCGGGGCATGCAGCCACCTCGCTGCGGCCACGCAATTGCCCCCGCTGCGGCGCGCGATCGCTTCTGTGGCCATTGCTCCCCGCAGTGGGCAACCACCTTACGGCGGCACGCAACGCCTCCGCTGTTGGCCACCGCAGCGTGCCGTTGGGGCGTCGCCGCAGCAGGC